CCGTAACAATTTATCTATTTTTTAAGCTTAAAGGGTTTAACATGGACGGGACAGCTCCTGGACACCCAGACAGACCTGAGCTGTTCATCATTCTTCATCCCTGATGGACTGGAGCATGGAAACCTGGTGGTGGTAACAGAGGTTCAGTCTGATCAGGTAAGTACATACTTTATATTTAGTCATTACTAAATGCTGCTGCTAATGGTGCTGATGGGGATGGTTCTGATTGATGATGTTACTGTTACGGCTACTGTTGGATGCATGGACAGGGGGCATCTGGTATTGGGAGTCAAAGTCAAATAGACAAAAACTGTATTTATTTTCCAAACGAGTCCAGGCCCAGTCTCGTTGTATGAACCACTCCAGCTTTATTTTTTCTGTTAGAGATGGACAGATGGATTACTGTGGTCAATAACAACTAACTCTCCTTCTCTAGTCTCCTCTTCGCTCCTCTGCTGTCCTCCTTTCTTTTCAGAGTGTTGGGGGTCTCAGTGAGCCCTGGCTGGCCTGTTCCCTTCTTCCTCTGGAGCAGCCTGGAAGAAGGCCCCGCTCTGACATGGCTGCTCCTGGTTAGTTCTGGAGGGACTCTTCTTTAATCATTTTGTTTTATCCTATTATTTAATCCTATTAAAGCTTAAAGGGTTTAACATGAACTGGACAGCTCCAGGACACCCGGACAGACCTGAGCTGTTGATCATTCTTCATCCCTGATGGACTGGAGCATGGAAACCTGGTGGTGGTAACAGAGGTCCAGTCTGATCAGGTGGTGAGTCAGGGGGGGGGCAGTCCTTTATTTATTCCATGGGGACACATGAGAAACAGAAAATAATCTGAAGGACCTGGTCAAAAGGCCTAACTTCTACATATTTAAATGTGATTAGTTTTCTTTCTAAACAGTAGATGTGCTAAGAGTGTGTGATGATGATGATTGACTGAAACCTGAGGCTGCCTTAACAACAGGTCAGTGTTAGGTCCCAAAGTTTAGTCCAGCTGGTCAGCAGGGAGCTGCTGTCCCTCCATCTGGGTTAGGGTT